GTGGGGTGTGTGTGTGTGTGGTGTGTGTGGGTGTGTGGTGTGTGTGTGGGTGTGTGGTGGTGTGTGTGTGTGTGTGTGTGTGTGGGGGGGGGGGGGGGGGGGGGGGGGGGGGGGGGGGGGGGGGGGGGGGGGGGGGGGGGGGGGGGGGGGGGGGGGGGGGGGGGGGGGGGGGGGGGGGGGGGGGGGGGGGGGGGGGGGGGCGGGGGGGGGGGGGGGGCCCCCCCCCCAACCTTAAGTAAGTTAGCACCCATTATTCTACCTGACCCATAAATCATTGGCTTTAGACCCATCATTCACAATAAGAATGTAAAGAACAAGAAAATTGCGTTTGTTCCGGTAAACGAACGGAAAGCCGGAGGATCGTATACGGTCAGGTTCCCGCCGCACATCTGCCACAAATGTTGGCGACGAGAACGATTTTACGTTTGAAGAGCCTTTACTAACCTAGGGCAACAACATCTCCCTCTCTCTTCTAGTGCATCTTATTCTTTCGACTCTTGCCCCTTCCTTAAAGGAATCTTGCGCGGAAAAATCATGATTCTATTTCAGCCATAAATCACTGGCTTGAGACTCATTATCCACGATAATAGTGAAAAGAACTGAAGTATTGCTTTCGTTTTGATTAGAAATTCGAAAACTCGAAAAGGCTGCTACGCGTTCGAATTGCCCACGGACGTCTTTCACGAATGCTGGCGACGGGGATGCTCAAACTTGGTTCTTGGAGTGCATTCACTAGAAGCTCTTTCTGGCCTTCTGCTTCGTTGCATTCACATCTTACACTTCTACTCCATCCTATTCCATCGATCGATTTGTCTCCACTCTCCGAAATCGCGCGCTTTAACCCGATTCTCTCATTGCGTCGCCTGGTACGTAGCCGGCCAAACGCCGTCTTCTTTCCATGCCTCGCCTGGCTCTGCCTCCTGGTCCTTCGATGGTCCATAACGTGTAGTTTTTGTACGTTTGTTTCTCTTCAGAAACCGAATCTTCATGCGTGAAACTTTGTGTGCTATTTCCAGTGATCACAACTGACATATTCATGTTAGGAAAGAGTGCAAGAATTTTCCGCGCAAGATTCCTTTAAAACTGAACGGTTTAACCCGATTCTTTCTATACGTCGCCTGGTACGCGGCCGCCCAAGGCACTCTTTCTATGCGCTCCCTTGTCTTCGCCCTTCGCCCTCATTACTGGCCCGAGTGAGTGCTTGCTCGGAGATAAATTATTTGAGCCAACCTTTCTGCCATTTCGTCTACGGTCTGCTGTTGCTTGAATGAACTTTGCGAAGGACTTGTTCTCATCTCTCTAAATAACAGTCGTATTGGTGTTAGAGTGGGAATAAGGTTTAAATTTTTTACTTCATCGTCTCAAATCGATCCATTTCAACCAAACGCTCCGTTCCTTTTTGCTCATTCTTGTAACCTCTTTGAATGAGTGGTCGCACATATGCTTTCGAAAACACGCTTAGTTGATGCTGAAACAGGAAATCGTGATCTAGTGATGTCACAAATTACGTTCACTGACCGCCACGCTTCGATCCTTATAGCCACAAAGGTCTTCGATGCCTTGCGTCATGTGTGCGATCATCCCGCGGTTGAATTCCATGAACAAACGAAAGTTGTCTTCTTTTCGGGCCAATCGGATATTGAGATATCGTACCAAAGATTTGATCGTTCCACCCTTAAACGATAATATAAATCATAAAACATTGGGCGTTGACCAGCCCTTTTTGAAATGCGCCACGCATTCTGCTTCGGTACTGAATTACAGTGGCACTTGAATGGGTTCAAATGCGAGTTGAGTTGAGTTGTCCCATACAATGGTTTGCGGGGCCAGCCACTTCATAGGTCAGCATTTCTCATTCCTAGACATCTATGATTACATCAACAAATTGAAATGACCGAGCCTGGTGAGTTGAGGGCTTTCATAGCCTGGAGGGTTCAGGATTTGATCCACGACCTGCGCACGAGGTAATCAGCGCTACTTTTTTATCACCTCGCCAGGAGCCGGGTGCAGCGAGCCCCAACTCGGAGATGGGTCCCCAAAACTCTGCATTTCTGAACGCATTCCTATTCTTGTCCATCAGAGTTGCGCTATCCACCAGATTATAGACGGCAGAGTTCTGGGGACTCATCCACGAATTGAAGCATGCTGCTCTCGGCCCCAGAACATTATTTTTAAGGTTGCCGTAGCACGTGAAGCGGTACATGCACAGGCTACACATGGACTAAAGACCCTAGTCGGTCCCTGCCATCTATGCTTCAGCGCTCCATGCTGGGTACTTAATCCACCGTAAATTGTGGATCATGCATTCAGATACTGACTGATAGGTCACCAGTTTTGTTCCATTTCAACGTGTGTCCTAGTTGGTTTTTCAAGAATGTTGCAATTTCGAAGCTCCTTTGGAGCCTTAAGAATTACAAGATAGACTGTAGCGCAGGGGCATAGACAATCAGGAGGTTCTCAGTAGCAGCACTGCTGTAGTGTGCCTGATGGCAGTCTACATTTCGAATCGTGCTGGATTTGACAGAGCTGCTGAAACTCCACAATTTTGTCATGACACGTGGGACACCTTGGAAAACCATGGGTGAACTTTAAGGATGGGTTCTGTGCGTTTTCTAGGATGGGGTATGGAGCCGGTTAGTTGGGCTGCGATTTCTAGATTTTTCAGAATACTCGCTGTTGTCACTGTGTGTATCCTCACTCTGTCGACCGAGCTTTCCAGAAACTGGCATCAGGGCCGGTTGAAATAACTCGAGTAGACGAGTCGAAGAGATTCGTAGATAGACCCTAACTGTCAGAAGAAGCGGGGGGGGGGAGAGGGGGAGGGAAAGCCTAAGGTCGCGGGTATTTGTAAATATCTTAAACGACCTCTCTCCGGCCCCACGGCTTACCCAAGTACGGAAAAGATTTGAAGTCCGAGCATACTGATAACTCCATGAATACTTGTCTTGGGTAAGCAAACTGAACTTTTCACGACTTACAAAATGTACTGTTAAAAACTTAGCCGTCCTTCACAACAGACAGAACTAATGGCGTTAAATTGATTAGTTTCAATTTTTCTACCTGTAAAAACACGGTGACAAGTATAACCATGTAGGTGGCCGACAATATGGTGTTCTTGACAGGAACTTTGTCGCTGATCATGAAAGCCAGTGAAAAGGAAACAGCACCTCGCAAACCTCCGTAGGCCTAAACGAATAACGAGTGCGCTGGAAATAGAAAAGCCTTGAAAGAAAAAAATCAGCAGTTATCTCACCATAATGAATTGCTCTTGGAATGAGATGTGACGAACACCGCCAGTAAATCGATTCACTATATAAGTGAGGAAGAAAACCACTGAAAAATAGCATTTTCAAGATAATTATTCGATACGTAAAGCAGAATCCAGGGTGATGAGGAATATTTTTAGAAGCTAATTGAGGACACTACTGAATGGAGAGAGGGCCTGGTGAGCTTACTCCTATACTGAGCGAACAGGCAGCAGCCGCCTGCTGCTTTGCTGCAAGAGCGATAGCCAGGAGTCTAGTTTGGACCATTATTAATCCAATTTTCAGTAAGAGATGACGACGTCTAATTACGAAAAGGCATGGGGAAGCACAACATTAGTGTAGCACACGGACAACCGATAGGAAATTCGACGACTCCGAAGATTGAAGCCAAAGCCCGTGATCCTTAAAGGCACATCCCACGATTAAATCAATTGTATCAAACCCTCACATGAGTGGAGTAGAACTGCCCACAAACGAATATGTAATGCAGACGTGCAGTTCTAGTGAATTGAAAGTGGGTGCCGTAGACACTGGGGCGTTATTTCTTCGCAGAAGTTCGCTGTAGTTACTGTTTGTATAGTCCGCGGTCTACACAGCGGAAGATCTCCTTCAGCCACCTCGCTCGTCGTCTGCTCTCTCGGTGACTACTGTGTCTCTGTTCGTCGAGCACTGTTCACCCCAGAGAGAAGAGGCCTTCAGTTTCAGTGTCATTAGCAGACTCTTTCCTTCTATCCTCTTCAGCGGTACCATGTCCTTCGCACCTTCCTTTTTTGAGCGGAATATCCACATACTTTGATCTTGCAATGTGTCCCAAAAAAAGGGGGGGGGGTGGAGGAGGAAAAAGGTGGACGACTTAATCTAAGTACAAGCACAGATTGCTGGAATCATACGCTAAGAAAAATAAAAGCCTCGAAGAAAAGATCCATGGTTCGGAAAATGAGAAACGTACCTAAAAACCGTACACCTATACAGAGAACAACTGAATAGATCGAGAACAGTGGATGCCAATCGCTCCAGAACCATTCCTGTTCGTTCACTAACATCACACCCAAAACAATGAAGATCAGAGACTCGGAGATTGAACTGAAATTCGCAAGACCATGGCACAAGAAATACAATAGAGCCAACACACATGCTTGAAAGAATTTGATGGTAAAACAATTTCTACTGAATCAACCAGTGTGGCGATAGTTCACGTTCACCATTTGCATTCTTAATGGTATTCGATTCTTCCAGAACTATTTCCGTGACATGGGTGGGAATGGTGTAGTGGCACATAGCGCCACTTCCTACGAGCACAGTCCAGTGATCTAACCTCGGATCGAATCTCGCTCAGGCAAGCCAAGCCTTCCATCTTCCGTTGCGCAACAGGTGGCCTCTGCAATGTATTGCGGAGACAATACCGCATTCAATGCCACCACGATTCTCATAAGAGTAGAATGCGTGGCGTATCCCACTAAGGATTGATCGATGCTTGAAGCTCGATTCTGTACCCTTTTATTTCCTTGACCTGCGGATGATTTTCTTCTAATTTCAGCTTTTACAATCAATATGATAGGAATGAATTGTGACACACCCTTTGGAACTGAGCACCGGAGAAAGCTGCAACTCTGCTGAAGGCGAACAACGGCGTTGATTCTGTACTGCCACATTCAGCCTCCCGACACACTTCCTACCTCATCATGGCGGGTACCCCCCAGGAGGCCCGTCGCGCGGCAAGAAGGCAGAGTCGGCGGACGAGTTGCAGCGCGTGATGTGCGATGTAGGACGTGCAGTGGGACACTCTATTTAACTTGACGCGAAATCCCTATAGTACGCGCGCGACTCGTCCGCTGACTTTGCCTTCTTGCCGCGCGACGGGCCTCCTGGGGGGTACCCCTTCATGGCAACACCTTTCTCATATACTCGTCGATTCATCATCGATTCAGGGTACATAAATAACTTTGGTGTCAAAC